CTCCGCTCTAGGTTTTCACTGTCTGGGATTCCGTTGTTGGTCTGTGGCTGTTGCTTTTGTTGTATCTTGTGGGGGAAGAATTCACGGGAAAGCTCACTCCGCCATGATGCTGACGTCACTGTAGGCCATGTCTTTTTTGACCTATTTAATCCATGAACTAACTCCCATCCACTTTCTTTCAGAGGTATTTTGAATTCTCTTTTTGATATAGCTTTATTCCATTTATATTTTCAATCCTTTATTACAGTCTAATATCACTGCATTTAGAGAAAACAAATGTTTCTGGCATCCTGAAATGTAAGCCCTCACATCTGTTTTTAACATTTGCCTTGAGTACCATAAAATTCACAGGTTAAAAACTTCAACAAGGATGAAAGCTATTATTTGACAAACATGCTCATTTCTTAAATAGAGTACTTTAAAAGTTCAATACCAGGAAGTTATTTGTTCTCATTTAAGTGGACCCCATCCTCAGCCAGAATTGGTCCTCACTTGTAGCGTTAGGTGGGGCCTGCTTAGAAGCCCCCTGTGATGGGTCAGTACATGAATTCACGGTGAACAGTTTCTCCTCCTTTGATCCTGTACAATGAAAGCTTGACTCCACAGGTCCGGGGTGTTCAAGATCTTCACATTGCAGAGAAGTTCTGGCCCTTGACTGCTCCTGGGAGATTGAAACCAGCAAACAGGTAGCCATTGATGATTAAGCAGCTAGTAACCATGGGGGATTGGAATTGGCCACCACAAAATATGTCTCTGCCTGAAAGACACTTTGACCCCCACCCCCACTAACTAACCAAAAGAGTTTGGATTGGGAGGCCTGTGCCCAGAACAAGCCATCACCATAGACATCTCTGGGTATCTGGGAGGGTCCTTGCTAAGCCCATTCTTAGTTCTGATTACGCTTTGTAAGAGACATTTACATTTGTAAAGGAAATCTCCATTTGTAAATGTATCTTCTTCCCTGTACCAGGAAGAAAAGGGGATGGCCTTACCTAGAAACTTATCAGAACAGAAGGTGAGGACTTAAATCTGCATGATAAACTTACCCATTTTTAACTGTGCTATTTAGGCAATATGCTATCTGACTCCCACTAGGTTCCTATAGGTAACAACCCCCTGGAGCCGGGGTCACCATGGTAATGGGTGTTTGAGCTATTTTTTTTCAGGAACTGAACCCGTTGTCCACTTCAGGCCAGTTGAGACCACCAACCCGTCAACTGGGCCCATGCAGACATGTGTCCAAAAGGCAACCTTTTGATGGCAAGAGGTTAAGACTCCACCCTCAGGGCACATTAATGTCACCATTCTATGAACATGTGTCCTATGAAGAGGCATGAAGCCTGACTACACTTGTGCAGATCATCAATTACCTCATCTCTCCTCACCTCCAATCATTTCAGACCACCTTGCCCCCTACCCTATAAATATCCCTGAGTCCCTTTTTTCAGAGAAGGGGATTTGAAACTCATTCTCCTGTTTCCTCAGTTGGCTGCCTTGTGATTAATAAACACGCTCTCTCTCTGCAATCTCATAGTCTTGGTGTTTGGCTTTCTGGGCAGCAGGCAAAAACAGAGCTGGTGCGGTAACAAGCTCATCTCTAAGCCCTTGGAATATCCTGCCTGATCTCAGGTATCTCTATTTACCTGGGACCCTGAGCCATGCCTGATAGTTTATGCTAACAATGCAGGTTATGGTGGGGGCCTTGGACCACACAGTATCAATGTGACCTCTGGAGTGGCTGGAGAGTGAGAAACTCTGATTGACAATGTGGGCACTCCATGCCTATGTGCCTGACCCCAATAAAAATCCTGGACACCAATGCTCAGGTGAGCTTCTGAGGGTGGCAATGCTCCATGGAGTTGTCACACATTGTTTGCTGGGAGAATTACGCACTGTCTGTACAACTCCATGGAGAGAGGACAGCTGGAGGCTCCCATGTGCTCTTTCTGTTCTGGACTCTGCCTTATGTGCCTTTCCCCTTGCTGATTGTATTCTATATCCTTTTGTGATCATAAAGCATAACTGTGAGTATAGTAGCTTTTCTGAGTTCTGTGAGTCCTTCTAGAGAATCACTGAACCTGAGGGTGGTCTTGGGCACTCCCAACAATGGATCTCTTCTGCCCACTCTGCTGTACCCTAAGTTATCTTTTTTTTTGTGAGGAAGATCATCCCTGAACTAACATCCGATGCTAATCCTCCTCTTTTTTGCTGAGGAAGATTGACCCTGGGCTAACATCTGTACCCATCTTCCTCTACTTTATATGGGATGCCACCACAGCATGGCTTGACAAGTGGTGCGTCGGTGCATGCCCAGGATCTGAACCTGCAAACCCCAGGCTGCTGAAGCGGAAGTATGCACACTTAACCGCTGCGCCACCAGGCTGGCCCCCCCTAAATTATCGTAAAGAGAGAAGTTAGGTACAAATGCTGCCTACCCTTAAGGAGTTCATGGCTCAGTGTGACAGGTGGTTAATTCCCCCAAAGTATAATACAAAGTGATACTGGCTCAACACAAGGCTGACATGAGGGAAGCCATATTGTAGAAAAGAAACCATATTGTAACTTTGAATGACCTCTGATTAACTAGCCCAGACATGCTCTGTGGATTTTATGGCCCCTCCCAGCTGCTCTAAGTTGATAACTTTGTTCTCTTGAGTTCCTTAGGAATGTGACGACCCCCAGGCAAATAGTCTATGCTGATAGCCATCATCAAGAACAACTGAAAGATCAGAGTATAGGGCATTGCTCCAGTCTCTGATGCATATCTAGTAAAACCAAAGACTATTAGGGACCAAGACCAGATGTCTGCCTCCACCCGGAGACCAGATGGATGCCCCACCCAGAGACCAGCCCAGTATATAACTGGCCTGTAGTCTTTGATCTATAAGATGGTTCTTTCAGACATTAGTTGGCCATCTTCCTCCTTGTTAGCAAGCTGTAATAAAGTTCTTTCTCTTCTACCTCCTTGCCTCTGGACTATTGACATGTCTTGCAGCGGGCAGATGACCTCCCCTTTTGGGCAGTAGCAAAGGTAAACAGCAAGGAATACTGTAAGATAGATCTACAGTGTCACATGGCTTAGAAAAGAAAGGGAATACATCTAACTGGGGTATTTTGACACAGGGGTGGTGGGACTAGAAATATAACAAAACTCACAGAACAAAAAATTCAAGTTGCATTTGGAAATGGGATCAATTGTCAGCCAAATCCTGAATCAGAAAGTCCAACATCTGTTGTTATCCCTCCCTGACCTGTTCTTCCTTTTTGTTTTGTTCTTGCTTGAATTCTTTGCCATCTGGCTGGCTCTATCAAAACAGAAAGATATCTGATATTTTTTATACTTTGAAAGAAACTCATTCACACCAGTAAGTTCTACCTCCTAGGAATTTGCCCCTAACAGCCTTTTATCTGTCACTGAGGTCTGGGAGTGCCCCGTCTCTGGTTAGAGCAACATCTGGCAACAGCAAGATAATCTTTTTAGAGAGGTGAAGATAGACTTCTCCTGGCCACTGAACTCATTGTTGCCAAGGTTGCTTGGAAATATAAGTCTGCTTTTCTTCTTTTGGGGGCAGAGTTGGGTTAGAAGCAACAGTAGGGTATCTGGCCCTCTCCTTTCCTCTTCCTCCCCCACCCCCCAGTTCTAAGCCATCTCATCTCAAATCCAACACTCCCACATGCACAGGATTCTCCTAGTGCCAACTCCTCTCTCATTCATTTCATCTCCCTGTGTGTGACCATGACCCCTGGACAGCTATCCACAGCCCAAGACCCAGAGTTTCTGACATATGGGCTCTCAAGCTCCTAGGGCATCTAGCTTGGGGGAAGTGAGCTGGAGGCAGCTGCTCGAGGACTGTGTGTGTGTGTGCTTGGAAGTGTTATGGGAGTTTATTGTGAAAAGATCTTCTGTGTTAAGTAGAGGCTCAAACAGAACACCTCTAAGTTTCTAGCTCAGCTTCAAGATTCTAAGGATATTTGACTACATGAAAGCTGGAAATACAGGGAAAAGAGTCAGCATTGATGTCAATTATAAAAACTGCAGAAGAGAGAGAAAACAAAACTGAAATTAGGTGTTCTGTGTAAGAATATTATTAATATCAGTCATTTATGAACATAACCATTTAAGCTCATTTACCATGCAATGTGGTAACGCAGGTATAGTAGTCAACATGCCACTTTCTTGGCTATGATTTACTGGATCAATAAACTCTGCACGTATGCTCGCTTTTCATTAGTTTCTCCTTTGGGATACAGTGGTTGTCTACTCACAACTTAAAGGAAGTGAAAAGGAACATAGCCTGGGAAGACTCCATTGGTGGACGTCCCATCTTGGTGCTCTTGTGGTTTTTGCATTCCAGATAGTTTGCAAATTCCACACCATCGTTCATTCAGTGAATGCCTGCTGGGTGCTGTTCCCCTCTGCAGAGAAGTCAGGGGCAAGCAGGGACAGATTGCAAGGAGGTTTTCACAGCTCTTGCTTGAGGGCAGTTCTCTCAGATGGTGAGGACGTGGCCGTCTGGACCCCGCTCCAGGGCAGCCTCCCAGTGCAGGCCTGGCTATTAAAGCCAGCCACAGACTCCCACACAGCCAGCGGCAAGACTGCTGGGGACCCTCCTGCCCTCCAGACCTCGCTCTTGCAGGGGCCCAGGCCAGCCGCACTCCACCCTGGCTCTAACCCCACTCCACCCAACTCTTTGTTTTGGTATTGGGAGAAAAGAGAACTTTTCCACAAGCTCAGTCTTTAGATGTGCCCCTTCCTCGACACTTCAGGGGAGCTCCTGGACCCAGTTCTACTTCTTTTTTGTTGTTGTTGTTGAGAAAGATTCGCCCTGAGCTCACATCTGTGCCAATCTTCCTCTATTTTGTATGTGGGTCACTGCCACCACAGTGTGGCTGAAGAGTGGTGTAGGTCCGGGATCCGAACCTGTGAACCGGGCAGCCAAAGCAGAACATGCAGAACCTAACCACTAGGCCACAGGACCGGCCCCCAGCTCTACTGCTTTAGGTCCCAAACTTCATGCTGGTCCCCCTGGGGCTAGCCCTGGTGGCTGGTGTTTTGGAGGAAAGATTGTTGACTTGGTAGTTAAGTTCTCATTTTAACCCTCTTTTGACCTTGTCTTTAAGAGCCTACTCCCTTGGAATGACTTTCTCAGGAAGTGTCTTTATTCTGTACCTTGTTCCAAAATGAACGTGGGTCAGATGTCCTTCTGAAAATCTCCTTTCACATGGGCAGGAGGTGGTAGCTCATCCAGATGGGAACACGCCTTGGTACGCACTAACCTCTGTGAGGGGCTCTTTAGGCTGGGCCGCAGAATCCTGACTGAAATGATAATGTGGGTCTCCCTGGGTCTGGTTAAAAATGACTGGAAACATCTTTTTTTGAGATTTATAACATGGCTGTATAGTAGAGTGGAAAAGGATTTGGAGAAATAAGACCACAGTCCAGATAGCGAGAGTCACACTTCCTACCTATGTGAATCTGGACAATTTACATGATAGCATCGCGCCTCAATTTTTTTCACCTTAACTTGGTGTATTAATTTCTTAGGGAAGCTGTAACACAGTACAAAAAAGTAGATGGCTTAAGACAACAGAATGTATTCTCTCACAGTTCTGGAGGCTGAAAGTCTGAAATCAAAGAGTCACCAGGGCCATGCTCCTTCTAAAGGCTCTAGCGGAGAATCCTTCCTTGCTCCTTCCAGCTCTGGTGGTTCCTGGCAATCCTTGGGGCTCGTTGTCTTGTAGCTGCATCACGCCAGTCACACGGCCTGAGTGTCCTCACATCGTCTTCCCTCCGTGTGTCTCAGTCTCTGTGACCAAATTTCTTCTTTTTACAATGTCATCAGTCTTGTTGGATTAGGGCCCACCCTAATGACCTCATTTTAACTTGGTTACCTCTGTAAAGACCCTACTTCCAAATAAGGTCACATTCTGAGGTCCTTCATTATATCCTTCGAGGTGACATGATTCAACCCATAATGTATGGTAATAAAATTTACCTTATAGGTAACCATCTAGCACAAATGTGAACCCCATAAAGGAGACATCTTATGATGATGATGATCACAGAAAGGGTGGTTTAAAGCAATTGAATCTGCAACAGTCATTCATTTATTCATTCATTATTTCCAGAGATACTTTTTGAGAGCCTACTGTGTGCTAGGCACCAGGGACTGACCCTTTTTGCTGGTTCCCACTTGGCTCCTGTTTTGGTCCAGGTTCCCCCTGTTCCTTGCAGTGGCTTCCTCTCTCCTATGTAGTCCCCTTCCCGCCTCGGTGGCCCAGGGGCTGGACCAGCCCTCGGGCTATAGACCCTCAGCTCTGCCACCAGCACGATGCTGCCTTGTTTTCCTAGCCTGTTCTTCCTGCTTCTGTCTTGCTAATCTCTCAGGATTGAAGCCCTGGCTTCATTCTACCCACTAGGGCCTAGCTCTCGTATCTTATCCCTACCACAGGGGTGATTTGGACAGGAAGCGATGGAGCCCTTAGCCAGAACAGCCATGGGGCCTTTGTCTGAACTGGGCAAGTCTGAATCCTTTCCTTTTACCAGCCTCGTTTTGGCTTTGTCTGCTGCTCTTCTGGCTCCTGGTCTAAGCTTTCCTTGTCCCACGCAGAGCACGTGGCCATACTTAATCCCTGGGCAGCATCTCAGGGGATTTAGGGATCAGTGGGAGGAGGCTACACACACACACACACACACACACACACACACACACATAAACACACACAAAACACCTGCTGTAAGTTCCCAATTTATTTAGTTAGGAATCTTCCTCTTAAAGGAAGTGAGCTGGTTCACGTAGAAGGAGTGGAGGCCACATATCCTGGTGCAGCTTTTCCTTGGAGCTGAGGTTTTAACAGGACATGCAGCTGCTGGTGACATTTTCCCTGCGGGCGGGATCCTCCAGAATTGAGAAAGCTGGTGGATTCCTGTTAAGCTGCTGCCCTTTTATATCCAGGGCTTACATTATCTTCCCAGAGGAATTTATATTAACAATCCACACACTTTCATCTAAGCAGTGGTTCCTGGCCTGGGCTGCACATTAGAATCTTCTAGGGGTAGGAAGTAAAAATGCCCCAATACCTAGGTTTCTGAGTATATATAGTCAACAGATGTTTGATAAAGAAGCAAATGTAATTCAATTGAGGAAGGATAGTCTTTCTAATAAATGCTGCTGGAACAACTAGATATACACATGCAAAAAAAATGAATCTAGACACAGACCTTACACCCTTCACAAAAATTAACTCAAAATGGATCATGGATCTAAATGTAAAATGCAAAACTATAAAACTCCTAGAAGATAACAGGAGAAAATCTAGGTGGCCTTGGGTCTGGTGATAACTTTTAGATACAACACCAAAAGTAAAATACATTTTTTTCTTTAAAAATTGATAAGTAGGATTTCATATAAATTAAAAACTTCTGTCCGTAAAAGACGCTGTTCAGAGAATGAAATGACAAGCCATAGACTGGAGAAAATATTTGCATAACACATATCTGATAATGGGCTCGTTGTCAAAATATACAAAGAACTTTTAAAGTTCAACAATAAGAAAACAAACTACCCAATTAAAAAATGGGCCAGAGATCTGAACACCTCACCAAAGAAGATACACATGTGCTTATGGAAAATAAGCACGTGAAATGATGTTCAACATCACATGTCATTAGGGAGTTGCAAATTAAAACAATAATGAGATGCACTACACACCTATTAGAATGGCCAAAATCCAAAACACTGACAACAGCAAATGCTGGTGAGGATGTGGAGTGACAGGAATTCTCACTCATTGCTGATGGGAAGGCAAGATGGTACAGCCACTTTGGAAGACAGTTTGGCAGTTTCTTAGGAAACTAAATATACTCTCACCATATGATCCAGCAATCATACTCCTGGGTATTTACTCATATGTGTTGAAAAGTTATGTCTACACGAAAACCTGCACATGGATGTTAGTAGAAGCTTTATTCATAGTTGCCAAAACTTGGAAGCAACCAAGATGTCCTTCAGCAGGTGAATGGATAAACAAACTGCCGTACATTCATACAATGGGATATTATTCAACGATACAAAGAAATGAGCTAACAAGCCATGAAAAGACATGGAGGAATCTTAAATGCATATTGCTAAGTGAAAGGAGCCAATCTGGAAAGGCTACATACTGTATGATTCCAACTATATGACATTCTGGAAAAGGCAAAATTATGGAGTCAATAAAAAGATCAGCAGTTTCGAGGAGGGAGGGAGGAGAGAGAGATGAATAGGTGGAACACAGGGCATGTTTGGGGCAATGAAACTATTCTGTATGATACTGTGATGGTGGATACATGTCATTTATACATTTGTTAAAATCCCATAGAATGTACAACATCAAGAGCGAATTGTATGTAAACTATGAACTTTAGTTAATAAAAATGTGTCAATATTGGCACATCAATGGTAACAGATGTAGCACACTAATGCAAGATGTTACTAATAGGGAAAACTTTTTAAAAAGCAAGGAGAGTCACGACATTTAGATAATACAGCAAAGAAAAGTGTAGAACAGCACATGCTACACTGTCATTTTAGATATAAATATACATGATTTCTTATCTCTTTTAAAATGATCTCTGGAAGTTGCCTCTGAGAGGAGAAGTGAGCGGCGGAGGACAGAGGTTGGACGGAATCTTATTGTATTGTCCTGTGTACATTTTTGATTCTGTGCCTTATACATGTAATACCTATTCAAAAATAAATAAGATTTAAAAAAGAAAGAAAGAAAACAACTTGGATACCCAGCCTGTACCCCAGATTAGTGAAATCAGTGTCTCTGGGAGTGAGGTCCAGGCATTAATAGTTCTAAAGCCCCTCCAGTTATTCTGATGAGAACCGCTGCATTAGAGGAATGTTTGCAAACATTGGGCTCTCCTGGTTCTTGCACCAAACTCAGCATCAGCAGGGCCAGAGTCTCATGGGTTTGGGCAGACGAAGCACGGGCAGCGCCCAGGTGCCTCTGAACCTCAGCTCGTTCCCTGGATTCCAGTGGTCTGGAAACCCATTTCCCTAGAGATACCAACAAGCACCCCTCCCTGATTTACTTCAAGTTTATCAGATTAGTTCCTGAAACAATACAAATCCATTTCCTTGCAGCTAGCTGTATTAATTACAGAGAATTCTGAGTCTCTCTGGCTGCAGTTGCTCAAAGTTCAGCCCTTGAGTCGTTGTCAACTGCATCTTTAATTTCAGCCTTCCTCACTCTCGAGTGGCTGGAATCTGTGATCTTGAAGTGTTGGCAGTGGAAACAGCACAGCGTGGCTATTAAGAGCATTTACCCAGATTGCTGCTCCTGGCTTGTCTTCGAGGAGCTGTGCTCTCTTGCTGGGTTAGGCTCGCAGCACCACAACGCTTCCTGGGTAGTACCGTTCAAATCAGCAGGAATTCAAGACAGTATGGGCAACAATTGCATTTATCATAATCTTAGGTAATGTATGTGAAAGCTCACTAAAAATTGTGTTTTTTAA